GAAAGGCATAGAGCCAGAACCAGAAGAGAACTAACTGCAGGGGCAGGAGAGATGAGCTGTCTTCCCAGACCAGCACTGGTATAGTTTCCTTGTTAATGACTTCCACCTGGAAACTACTCTGAAGGCTATGTGCACTTATAATTTTGGTAGATGTTGTCAAATTCGTCATAGAAGTTGCACCAGTTTATGTTCCCCAGGCAAGGAATGATGTCTGTTTCCCCACAAACTTGCCTACCTAGTGAGTGTGTCATTAGTATTTTAGATCTTTGCCAATGATGTCTCAAGGTAATTTTCATTTGCATTTCTCTTATGAGAGATATTAGAGTCTTTTCCTGTGTTTTAGAGCCATTTGTTCTTTTTCTTCTGAAAATGTTTATGCTCTTTATCACTTTTTCTATTACATTTCTTATTTACTTGGAGGTTGAAATATATTTTCAAAAAGTTACTCTGCAGAGACCTACCTGGGAGCAAGGTTATGGGATATGGAAGAAGAGTGGTGGCAGTGTGATGGAGAAGCAGATGGATTTGGAATTGGAATTGACAGTAGTTGGAAATGGATTAGATATAGGGCTTGAGGGTAAGCAAAGAATCACAGATGATCCCTGTATTTCAGGTGTTGCATCTGAATGGATAGTGGCACCATTTACTGAGGTGGGGAAATGCATAAAAGTGATATCAAGAGCTTTGTTTTGGAAACTGTAAAATTCTTTTTTAAAAAATTTGGGACCTTGCTTTGGAAAGATTTTTTTAAAGACACAAAACAAACCATAAAGAAAAATTTTAGAGAAATATTACTATATCAGAACTTTAACTTCTGTGTAATAGAAGAACTTATAAATAAAGTTAAAAGACAAACAACAGATGGGGGGAGTATTTTGTAACATATATAACAGACAAAGGATTTATATTACTTCACATTAAAAATTCCTACAAATCATTTAGAAGAAGACAAACCTAAAGAAAATAAGCAAAGTATATAACTAGGCAAACAGAAAGAAACCCAAATGGAAAATAACTGTAGAAAGAGATACTATTGCCTGGCCAGTGTGGCTCAGTGGTTGAGTGTCAACCCATGAACCAGGAGGCCCCTGGTTTGATTCCCAGTCAGGGCACATGCCCAGGTTGCGGGCTGGATGTTTCTATCTCACTATCCCTCTCCCTTCCTCTTTCTCTAATCAATAAAAAATATTTTTTAAAACAAGAGATACAATTTTCACTAGGTAATAGGAAAATGCAAATTAAAACAACATTGAGATCCCATTTTTTACCATAGACAACTACAGTCTGACAATAGAAAATATTGCTACATTCACATAAATTGTGAATAGAAATGGAAATTGCATTAGTTTCTTTATGGAGGAACTTGATATCTAGTAAAATTGAAAATTCATATATTCTGAAATTCAGTAGTTCCAATACTAAACAAGGAGATAATATGTACAGAATGTGTACAGTTTTAAAACCACACACACACACACACACATCATGTTTTATGTTGTTTATAAATTCATCTATGAATGTGAATATATTAAAATGGACACTAATAATATATGGAATTGGGACCAAGGTTGCCTCTTGGAAGGAAGGAAAGAGACTGAGAATGAAGATTGAGATCAAAAGGAGTTTTAGCGCTGTACTATTTTATTTACATATTTTTAAAGGAGAATATAGCTCTGACAGCATGGCTCAGTGGTTGAGCATCGACCTATGAACCAGGAGGTCATGGTTCCATTTCCAGTCAAGGCACATGCCCAAGTTTCGGGCTCAATTCCCAGTAGGGGGTGTGGCAGGAGGCAGCCGATCAATGA